CTAAAAAGGTATGCTTGGCCAGCACCCTGAGAAGTGGGTGTCCTAATTGAGTAGTTGTATATTGAGTTATTTCTGATCCTGAATTACAACTTCTTTAACAAACCCTGTAATGATGAGAATTGTCCCTAGCTTCTGTTTATTAGCATTGGAATGAATTATCAAACCCAAGAAGGGGGTGAAGTGTGTCAGAATTGGTTTTTTTAAAAAGGTTGGAAGCTGGAGGCATGTCTGACCCATGCCTCATCGTCAGCCTTGGGTTGTGAATCTTGAGCCTTTCTGCCCCTGGTACAGTTAGTTGGAGGAGGTCTGCCCCTGGTACAGTTAGCCCACACCATTTTCACATAGACCCAGGATGTAATCCTGGCAGATATTTCAGTTAATACAATAGTCATTGATTGTTTAGATGGACAAACCAAAGAAAATCATTTTTAAACAAAACAGACAGACAGTGGTGATGATTGCACAACATGTGAACATAATTACCGTCACTAAAGTGCATATAACTAAAATATAATACATTAAAACATCTACCTGGCTTTTAGCTGCAGCTCCAATGGAACGATTCTTAGGACCGAAAGAAATGCATGCCCTAGAAAATAAAACAATAACTAAGTATTAAACCTTACTGCAACAACAGGCAAGATTCGAATCTCAACTAAAAAGCCATATACAGTAACAGCATACAGCAAGTTTATGGTTTTGATATTTTTATTGAGTAATCTGTCCATGAAATAAGCCAAGCAACCCCTCAGGATGAGAGTCCAATGGAAGCATAAGCGTGATAGGACGTCCACCTGTCCAAAACAGACCACTAGCCAATTCCCACCATCTTTTAATTCTTCTCTCTCGTGGTCAAAATTCCAACTAAAAAACAATGTATTCTTATATCAATACATCAATTAAACTTAATTCTTTGTTATTTTAGTAGTTTATAACTTTATCAAGAACGTAACTATAAATATACTCCACAAATTCTACAGACATTCACCAAAAATGGCTATGATATAGCTAACAAACCTTGAAAACAACCATTAGCACATATACTGTTTCTAAAACTAGCTTCCAAGGGCTTAATTTCTGACAATGAATTTCCTTCCCAGGAATTCCTAGACTCATACTTCAAACTCACCAATTCATAAACTATCTATTGGCGAAATCTATTTGATGCTTCTTTCAGGAGGCAAAAACGAGACCTACTTAACACTAGGTATATGGTACATGTAATTTTCACGCATTTCGATTTCTTCACTGAAAATGACAGTTCACTACCATTTATGCTGAGTTTTATCCATTTAATGAACAAATATATAACCAAATTCGTTTTCTTCTAAGCCTTCCAATCTCGAAATTCTGTGTGGTATCTCTACAAATACATGTCAATCTGACAACATAAAAAGAGTATTAATCCCATTAAATCCCAGCTTCATTCATGAAAGCATTACTTCAGAAATATAAACATAGTCAAAATGTTCTCAGAAAGCATCAAATGTAAAGACAAACAACGCAGTGGAGATTGTCATACTGACCAACCCAAGAAACCCTTTCAATTCAGCAAACCCAGTTATCTCCAATGTGTGCTAGTGATTATAAATGTTATATGCA